GTATATATTGTCAATGTTCCGCCTAAAAAATTCTGTCAGATATTAATGATATGATTGCCGTATATAAATAAATATGGCTGCGTATGATAATGTGTGCTGTGTGTTTAAATATATGTATTTGTTGTCGATGGACTTCATAGTGATATGTCCCGGTAAAGGATATATTTGTTCGAGGGAGCAAAGTGGTTGTTGACTACTGTAACCGAGTAGGACAATCTAGCAATTAACCGTAATAGACTGGTCCTCGTCGTAGTGGTAGGCAATAGGTGTAGGCAATAGGCGAAGACAATAGGCGTCCTCCATGCACCTCAACATTATTCTGTATTTATGGCTGACACCAGGCAATCATATTACTGTGAAGGGGACCCAGGTGTATGCATATTCATTACATCACATAGCCTACTCGGCATGTCAAGCGTTGTAAGCGGATTAGAACCCGAGGAATGCGAGGTTTTAGCTTGATGGAGGCTATGAATTTAATCTGTGATACGTTCTATTTATTGATGATAGTCTAATAACAATCTCACAACAGCAGAGTGAAACAAATGATAAAAAATTTCTTTTACGTTCACTTTTACTTTATATATATATATATATATATATATATATATATATATATATATATATATATATATATATATATATAGTACATAAAGGAGAGACAGAGAAACCGAGAGATGTCCGAAGACCTGTAGAGACTGTTCCTATTCTCACCGATCACATGAAAACCCACAGGTAACGTGAACAAAATTTACAAAACAAGCCAGGTGCTGTACAGAACAACTAAATTGTAATAAGCATTGTAAATCACGTAATGCCTTCAAAAGCCATTGACGTTAGTGCTAATAATCTGTCGGATGAATTCATAAATAAAATCCACGATCTTACAAATGACTTTGTTTACTTTTGGAAACGAATCTAAGGAGACAAGGAAAATCTAAGGAACTGAATACAAGGATTTCATTTAAAGGCACTATTCAGACCTTGAATCGAGGAGGTTACGTCCTTTCTAACGACGGTTTCCCTCTGCCATGGGGACGGAGATTTGAATTTATCTATCTATCTATCTATCTATCTATCTATCTATCTATCTATCTATATATATATATATATATATATATATATATATATATTAATCCGACAAATTTTTATTCCTTTAAACGTTACTTTTACTGAATACTCGTATTTGAGTTGTCACTCCGTTTATTTATTAAACATTATATTTATTTATTTTCATCTACCGGCCTGAATGTACGAGAAATCTTATTAAAGAAAAGCAGAGAGAACTTAATTTTTTCTTTAATAAGATTTCTCAAACATTTAGCCTGGTAGACAAAAAATATATATGTATACCGTTTAATAAATAAACGGTGGGGTGTCCTACTCAAATACGTGTGTCCGCGAAACGTTTAAAGTGAAAATATAGCACTTCGGTAAAATCAGTACGAGCACTGTGGCTGACTGAAGTTTGTTTTCGCTAGAATTAGCCATTTTCTCTACCGAATGCTGATGGCTTAATGGTAGAAAATCCGCCTACTACCAAATCTGTTGGGTTTCGATCCTGACTTTCGGGCGACTATTCACGTCGAGGAGCTTTGATAAAGCGAAACAGTACTGTCTCGCAGTGTCATATATTTATATATATATATATATATATATATGCGAAAGGTTCCCATCCATTCAAAAAGCGAATTAAAAATTCTCTTTTTTCGAATTTGATATGTATCGAATTTAATATATATAAAATTAGCTAAGCACCCCCCCATGCGTCTTAGTGGCTTTATCGCCTTGCTTCGAATGAAATGATTTAAAAAAAGTGCATTGAGACACAGGAAAGCGGAGATCTAGAATTCGCAATAAAAAAAAACCTCAAACCGTTTAATTAGTTTATTCCTTTTATATTTTTTAGTCGGTCAATATTATGTATGATTCATTGATTACACTGGGCATTATATAAATCGCTTTTTGGGTGCCTATATATCCATGATAATTTTAGAAGGCTTATATAAACTTATTTTAGGGATTAAAAATACATGAAAATATAGAAACAAAGTTGATTTTGAGAATAGAATTAAGCATTTCCCTGAGGCTCATTTACATTCACTTCCACTGACTTATCCTTCGTTTATAAGTGAAAAGGAATTGGTATAACAAAAGATGCAAGAGGAGCTCGTCGAAAATAACAATATATGTATCTAAAAATCAAAAGGGAAATTTTAGCCAAGCGAAAATAGTTTGGTAAATGATATCCAGACACAACTGAAGTACGTAGAACAGATGTACAAAACCAAAAGGGTTTCATAAACAAATGGCAATGATAAAAGCTTCTACTGAAGAATGCACATTAAAAGTGTTCTTTATCATTCTCTTTACTCGAAACATTATTTCATGGACACATCTAAAATCTAACTGTAATTCCACTTCTTCTTCTTCTTCTTCTTCTTCTTCTTCTTCTTATTATTATTATTATTATTATTATTATTATTATTATTATTTGTGTATGTTATGTTTCCTGCTTTGTATCCTGTAGAACCGGTCCAAACTATTGTCAGTAGATCTGTAGGAGAATTGTCATTTAATTCCTTGTATATGTGCCTAGTAGGGTGATATTCTGGGCAACTTGTCTATTAATGTCTATTAATGTCACCTGGGGCACTGTTGGTAAAACTGTCAGTTACTTTTCTCACGAGGCCCAGAGCTCCGGTTACTATTGGTACAGTCTTAGTCTTCATTCCCCACATCATGTTAATCTCGATCTCCAGGTCCTTGTATTTGGACAATTTCTCGATAATTTTCATGAAGGTGTTTCTCTCAGATGCGCACTGCTATGTCAATAAACATACACATCCTGACTTTCCTATCATTTATGATAATATCAGGTCTATTGGATTTTATTTTCTTGTTAGTTTGAATTGGCATGTCCTCGTGGATAGTTACATCGTTATTTAGGGTAACTGTGCCTGATTGATGATCATACCATCTCTCAGTAGTTTCGATTTTGTGCTTCTTGCATATCTTCCAGTATGTCGCTACCTTGTTATATCTGTGGGTATATTCATTTTTTGCTAGTTCCGGACATCCTGAGATTTTCCGCAGATACTGTATTTCGGGTTGGTTCCGTCCTTGATTCTGTGACAGCGATAAGATCTGGTCGTTGTTATTATTATTATTATTGTTAATAGTTAAGGGATGAGCGCAATTTAAGAAAGACACCGTGTTATTATTTCCTTTGATTTCTAGTGTGAACTAATTTCTTTTTGTGTCCCGTCCAGTGATCCAAGGTCAGAAATGGCACCATGGTATCTACAGAGAAGTTTGAAATGAATTTTACATAGATAAAGCCCTTCGTAAGGTGTGGGCTCTACTTGTCAGAACGACTCTTTTGTATTTCTTTAAGGCATGGGCTACCAGGAATCCCTTCAAGAAGTCTTTTGGAATCTTTTCCAGTCAATCCGAGGGCTCCAACTACAACTAGAATTTTTTATGTCCACATGTGCCACATTTTTGAGATTTAGATTTCAAGGTCCTTGTATTTTGATAGATTTTTGAATCTGCCATGTCAATAAGAAGGCACATTTTTGTCTTTGCCGTCTCTAATCAAGATGTCTGGTCGATTAGCTTTAATTTTTCTGTTTGTGTGTATTGTAATGTCTCATGAAATTGTTATAGGTTCTATCTCTGTAGCTGTATCTGGGTGATGTTCATATCAATTTCTAGCAGATTCCTTTCCGTGAAAGTTGCAGATTTTCCATTACAAATTTTGGCCCACTCTGTCATACCGAGTTTTATATTCAGTGAGTGCCAAAAAAAAAGAATTTGCATTTTGGTCTAACACAATTTTTCAGTGTGTGAGCTTGGTAATTTTTACTTAGCAACCATTGGTCCTCGGCAGCAAGAATAGAACCTTCATTTACAGTTTTTAACCCTGCACTACGTAGCCACTTATGGGTACGTGGTTTGTCTACATCAGCTTGTTTGGTACGGACAGAGCATTGGCTGTGAAACTCTTTATCTTTCCATCGTTTCTATATCTGGTCGGTTGCATTTGCCTTTGCTTTATTTTTTAAGTATTTTGCATCTGCAGTCGGTGTATTATGCTTTACTTGCATTTCCTCACACATTTGAGACTCCATTCGGAATATGTTGACCTCTTTTATTACTGCATAAAGATCCATCTTCTTCTTCTTCTTCTTCTTCTTCTTCTTCTTCTTCTTCTTCTTCTTCATCTTCTCCTCCTCCTCCTTCTTCTTCTTCTTCTTCTTCTTCTTCTTCTTCTTCTTCTTCTTCTTATTATTATTATTATTTTCTTCTTCTTATTATTATTTTATTTCCTTTGATTTCTGGTGCATACTCATTTCTTTCCGGGTCCCAACCAGAGATCGAAGGTCTGAAGTGGCACATTTTCCACTGAGCATTTTTTGAGAAGAAACATCTAAGATCACACACATTTTACATATATAAAGCCCTTCGTAAGGTGTGGGTTGTACTTGTAAGAACAATTTTTTTATTTCTTTAAGGCATGTACTCCTAACAATCTCTTCAATGAATCTATCGGAACCTTTTCCAATCAATCCGATAGCTCCAATTTCAAATGGAATTAGTGATGTTTGTATGTGCCACATTTTAAGATTTCCACTTCAAAAGAACCTTGTATTTCGATAGTTTTTTTGAAGATCTGCAAAGATACATGACATTCCGCAGGGATTATTATTATTATTTTCCCACTATCCACTCGAATGACATATTTTGTTTGGATTTTATAATGGTGGATAGAACTATTAATGCTGGACAATATTGAAGTATTATTTGAAACTGGGCCTCAACGACTCTGAAGTTGCTCACAAGAATTTGGCATGTACAAGGAAATTAATCAATACCTGCCCCACCCCTAACCATTACAAGGAGAGCGATTTTTTTTCTAAAAAATGAATTACGGATGCTACTCTCGGTTCGCTATAAAACTCAATTAAAGGAGAACCTGCACTCGAACATTTTCATGCTTACGACCATATCACGTTGAAACACCGTTTATAGTAAGATCACCGAAGTTAAACAACGTTGAGCCTGGTCAATACTTAGATGGGTGACCACTTGAGAATACCAGATGTTGTAAGCTTGTGTGTGCGGATCGTGTAATGAATGACAGTTTCGAAATTTTGGAAAGAGATGAATGCAATGAACACGCCTGGAATTCGAACTCGGTGCTCCGATACCTCAATACGAGCCGATATCCACTGTTTTACCTTCCTACTCAATGCATAGGCTTTAATAATAATAATAATAATAATAATAATAATATGATGTTTCGACTCAAAGTTTCCTCTTATTAAAAAACGAAAACACTTTTGATACACCCCTAATATTTATACAGAATAAAGATCGGAACAGGATGTTTCTCTTATCCGTTCTGGCTCTTAGTACAATCGGGTACTTTTAAAATCAGCAATTATCGCACTCGGTCCTCCAGTTTCTTTCCTCTACTCATTTTTTGTTGTTGTTTTGTTTTGTTTGTCTCCGAGGGAACATTGCTTTTTTTTTTTTTTTTAGTTTCTTTTGAAAGTGGAAATAAGCCTGTTCCAGGTATGCGGGGGCGGTAGCTAAAGGAAATGTAGGCGGATCGGAATATCCTGTCTTTTGCATTCTCTTCCTTTTTCCCTTCTTTCTATAAAGACGGGAGGAGCACGTAGAATAAAAAAAAAAAGATTCTTTATTTCGTATCCTCAACCCCAAGACTTTTCCTGCTTGTCCCATTGAATCTCAGGCTTTACATTATTAAGTATTTTTTTCCTTTTTAGATTTCGGGAACCCATCACAATATTTCGGTGGGTTTCTTTTTTCTGTTTATGACTGTTTATTCTTTCTTATATTTTCTTCTTCTTTTTTTATAATTAATGTATTTTTTACCTTTTTTTCTCCTTTAGTTTTGGTCGTTTTTTCTTTCATCTCTATCTTGGGATTCGAGAGTATAATATATTTAAACATATCATCTACTATAGAGACCCGGTTCTGTTACACCCTTAATAATTCTTATTTCATGATTTTCCTTTACTAATATTTTTTTTCAGAAAATCATTTGTGTCTCTAACGAATCCCTTGTGGTCTCATGTCCGTTCTACTTAGCCTTATAAATATTATCTGTTAGCCATTGTTTTTGTTCAAGGAAATATTGATTTTATTTCTTTCTTTTTCTTCCTCTTCTAACTTTTATTCTTTCTTTCTCCTTTTTCTGATTTCGTTTTTCTTTTTTTTATTCACCGTTCTCTTTTCCTTCTGAGAATCATTATTATAACTTATAATTTATCATCCTCATCTTTCTTCTACTTTGTTCCAGTTTAATTCAACTTCTTTTTTGTCTAATTAACATTATTATCGACATCTTATCATCATCACTTTGTTTTGTTTTCATCATTTTATTGGTGATGATGATGAGATGGGGATTTCAATTTTTCTTAAACTGACAGCATTACAATGACCACCTTTCAGTTTTTGGTTCTTTGCCGAAATTACTACTTCTAGGTCTACTAACATTATTGGTACTACGGCTTCCGCTATTGCTACTAATAATAATTACTAATACTACTACTAATTATAATAAATGCACGCTTCATTAGTGGATAGCATGGAAAACGCCACAAGATTCTTGCAGAGATTGTATAAACTGAGTATTCGATGAAGAATCAAATTCATTCAGACGAGAGCATTACGAAAATTAGATAGAATACTGAGTAGAGTCCTGGGGTATTGAAAATACATGCTACCATTCGAACGATTGTGAAAGCGACCAGATATCTCAAACAATATGCAAGTAAAGAGGAAAGAGCAGCGTTCTTTAAATTCAACAGAGCATATCTGAATTCTAAGACATGCCTAAAATTTGAATTCAGTGAAGTGAATAAGAATTCTGAGAAGATGGCCCAGTTACTGATTTATGACAAGAATCATAAATCTAATATTTTTAATTTAATATTCAGTATTTAAAAAGAAATATCTCATGAAGAAGACCGGAGAAATGACCGGCTCTTCAGGCCTAAAGATTTTGCTCAAGGAAGAAAGAGACCGTCACCACGTCTAGTTTTTTTATTTGCATACGCAATATCATTGATATCGACAACATTTACCCATAAATATAGCAGACTTTAAAACTATATTATTTTGTCATAAATAAAGAAATAGGCTCAAGTCAACAACCAGAGGGCAACAGACTGTTTCATGCTTAAAGGCAATCGTCAGGCTGTTATCTTTACATACACTCAATCCCTAATATTGAACACTTGAAGGCAAAATATAGCATACTTTAAAATTATATTATTTTATCACACACGCTCTCTCTCTCTCTCTCACACACACACACACACACACACACACACACACACACACACAAACACACACACACGCACACACACACACACATATATATATATATATATATATATATATAGTGTTTCGTTAAAAATATAACGAAAAAAGAAATTAGAAAAAGTTACAATATTCTTTATTGATTTTTAATTTTATTTTTATTTATTTATTTTCATTTCAGTATATTTAATTTCGCTATATACAGATAGTATTCTGTACATATATGTACATATATACATCGTTATATATGAAACACTGAATAAAAACAACAATATGAAAACAATACTCCGAAAACAATATATATATATATTGATATATATATATATATATATATATATATATATATTTATTTTGTCAATGTTGCAAATTTTCAAACGATCAGATAAAACTTTCGTGATATTCATTCCTATATTCACCTGAATTATGAGTGGAAGATAAAAATAAAATAATCAATTAGTCGATTAATCTCAATCAGCAATGATCGCTCACGTCATGAAGAGACACGATCAGTAAAAGGCAGACCATATCATTTCCGAATCTATGAACACTAAGTGCTGCAGATGTATAACATAATAAACCAAGAATCTGTCATATTTGTTAGTGGGCGACACATTGTAGAAAAACAATCCTTGACTAGGAAATCTCCAGAGACATAAACCTCTTCATTCTTAAATCACTGGAAAGTAGCTTAAAAATAGAATATCCAAAAGTCCAAGAATCTCAGTTGTTCACTGATTTTGCTACTGAAATTTGATCGCTTTAAGAATTAAATTTCGTTTGGGTGCTGAATCATAATAAATTATATTTTTGAGCTGATTTGGAACTACGCTGCCTTATCTTCTACAAAAACGTGCTGTTATTTCGTACAAACATACATATTGCCCAGTAAGATAAGCACTGGTTTCCTTTGCATAGAATGGAAATCATTATGTTCATCGCTCAAAGAGAAATTCCTAACTTCGATATAATTAGACACGTGTCATATTGTGATTAACCGATTTTACAGTCCGTTTCAAAATGTAAAGGTTATGGCGAGCCTGGAGAATGAGGTATTGTGAGGTAAACATGCAGTTATTTCTATCATTAATTGTGTATCAAATTAAAATTAAATATTTATCAATAACATGCATTTATGGCCTGGCTCTCTCTCTATGGTAAACCTCTAAAATGAACACCATGGCGTTATATAATGAGTGTTATCAAAACCATGTTCATTTTTGAACATTAATCAAACTCATGTATATTGTGTTAAGCTTATGTAACCCACTCCATGTTTGGAATTTGTAAAGCCCAAGACACAAACTCTGAATTGTGGATGTCAAAATCAGATAACTGCAGAAGTTTAAATATCTGGGAAATTTTATAACAGAGAATGGAAAATGCGGCAAGGAAATTCGAACAGACATTAAATTAGCAAACGTTGCCTTCCAGAAATGAACCAAGGAAACATAGAAAAGAGTACTGGATTGTTATATGATATGGTAGCTATATGACATTGAATGCTAGTCATTCTCCCCACAAAAGGTTAATGAGTATACCATGAAACGAGTGAGTAATCAACGAAGATCTCTTAAAGATAATAGAAATAAATAGGATATTTATTCCCCAAATCAGAAAAAGGTTAAGTGAAGTCTTTTGTATATAAAATGAAGAAGGAAAGCTTGGCGAATTTGACACTCACATGACACCCTAAAATAGTAGGGAGTTGCAGCGGGTTATTTACTTGACGAACTAGAGTAAATGGCTGTCGGTTCGGAGGGATGGAAAAAAGAGAAACGATACTAAGAGCTACAAGGGAAGGAAGCTGTGAAGAGCCATGATAGCCTATGCACCTGAAGAAGTAAGTTTTACATATGGTGTCTTTCAGTGCCCCAAATTCTTTTGAAAAGTTAGAATCTTGCTAGTTTTCGGTAATGAAATACATTTCTGCTTGAATATACAGGGTGCGATGGATAAATTGTCGTCTAAATGTCGCAAAACTGAAAATAATACAAACATCTCATGTAACAGATAGATTTAGCAAAATTACACAAAAATATCTTGAAATACAAAAGAGTAAATTAATTTAAAAAAATCGCCATTGGCCTCAATCACGAACTCCAGACGACTCCTGCAGCTCTTATAGATGGTCGTCTTGTTGCCATAATCGTTGGCTTCAGTTCACCTTTAGTATTAAATGAGTTTTGTTGGTCTCTCACTCAACTAGGCCCCACAATTAATAATCAAGAGGGGTTCGGTTTGGGGAGTTAGGTGTTCAGATGTAAGGGGTGATATGGTCGCAGAAATTATCTAACTGCTCTTACTGGATTCTCCTGCTTGTGTGGCATGGTACAGAGTCGTTTTTTCAGACACAGTGTGTTCCAGCAGCCACGCTCTTGAAACGGGGCAACACTACAATCTCAAGTTTCTTGATGCAGGCCTCTGTGTTGAGTCTGAATCTCTCAGCAACAAATTCGCTAGTTCTTTTCTTATAAGAGTGAGTTTTTCGAGCTGCTTTATCTTCGTAATCAACATTAGACTAACCCAAATCCTTCCAAATCCACTGGACTGTCCTCAGATTGACATTCAAACACTCTGGAATGTTCGTATTGTAGCTTCCGGTGCGAATTCCAAGCAGTACACATTTCTATCGGATTAAATTGCGTCATTGTGCTCTTTTTCTCACAGACGATGCCCAACTGACCCTACTATATTGTGCAGTCGACAAAATCAAAAACAAACAAAAATATAAAATGGCGACAATTTACCTATCATACCA